CTTTTTGTTAACTATCACTATTGGCCTGCTCCAGTCCACTGAGAGTAATTTTACTTTCTTACTTGTTGCACTAGTATTATACATGTTATATACGTTCATGAAAGTTGCACTATTTTGGCATTTGAGAGCCAAAACTCAGGGTTTAAAAGAGATTATTCAATTATTAATGTAATTTTACTGTCTTACTGTTGCACTACTATTATACATGTTATAATTTTATGAATGTCGCACTATTTTGGCCTTTGAGAGCCAAAAGTTTATTCAACTATTGCCACCCATTCCAGGTAGGCAATAAAACATTGTACTGGATTCACTTTTTTATTAGCAACACTATTCGTTAGACATACAGAGCTTTTTCAGCTAAAAAGGGCAACAGATTATGTTTATGTATGTTTAAGTTTATGTAAGTTATACTAACTTTTATAATGCAGGAAGCTTGAGAAAATATAGTTTAAATGTTGTGTTCTTCTTTACTAATTAAAAAAATATTGGCTTCACAGAGGTCCATGACTCACAGTTACAGGTGTTTTTTTTATTGTACAGACAGAATCAGATTACAGAGCTTCTGCATGTATTGAAATTTTTTTCTGTCATCATGCTAATAGTAAATGTCTTTATAAATCTTTTTAAACAGAGCTCAGAGAGAAGTAGGGAGAGCTACAGATTTAAAGGTGAAACAGATTTACTGGGACATGCAATGAAATATATCTCCAAGTTTACCACAAAGTTTACAAGAAAACAACATGTTATGCTATATTTAAAATGCAGCATATCCAATTTTTTCTGGATGGAATTGAAATTGTACTTCTAGGGATGCAAGATATATTGATTTTGGCATTGGAATCGGCTTTTACTGTATTTGTTATTTTTTTTATACATTAATGTTTTTGGGCCCTATAAAGTATATATAATGCACTAAAAAAGCATCTCTCTAACTATCTATAATTATAAATATCAGTGTATTCTGGTTCTCTTCTGTTCTCAACAATAGGAAAACATTCAATACATATATGTTTGAGCTCATTTTTTGAAAATACAAAAAGTTAATGAAAGTGTTCGGGTGGAGTAACTGTAGGTTCATCAGCCTCCACCCTTAGAGTGTCCCCATCAGCCTTTATTACAAAGTTACAGCCTTGGTGTTCCAGCTCAGATCATCATTAGAATTTTTTTGAGTATTATTTCTTCAGTACAGGGGCCAGGACATGATCTACAGGGGCACTGGCCCCCTTGGCCCCTGTCTAGAAACGCCCATGAACGTCTTAAATGGATTCCCATTTTGAGTGTATATAAAAATCCAACCTGAACTAAAAATCCACTAATTTGAGAGAAGATGATTTTTACCCAACCAATGTGACCGAAGTAAAAAGCATCCCCACCATTTTGCTTCTTTTTTTTGTGTCATTCTGATGTTTAATTTGAATGTTATTAATCTTTTTTTTTTTCCAGTAAAATACGAGAGGATTAAGTTCTTGGTTCTGGCTCTGAAGAACTCTGTGGAGGTCTACGCCTGGGCGCCCAAACCGTACCACAAGTTCATGGCCTTCAAGGTGGAGAACTGATGATTAATGAACCCAAATTACAACCAAAGAAAGCAACATTCGTCCCTCCTGCTGCGGCAGAATGTTTGGCTGTAAATGACTAAACTTATATGTTTTGGTCTGCATTCAGTCTTTTGGCGACCTGGTGCACAAGCCCCTGCTGGTTGACCTCACTGTGGAGGAAGGGCAAAGGTTAAAGGTCATCTACGGCTCCTGCTCAGGGTTCCACGCTGTCGACGTTGACTCGGGGGCGGTTTATGACATCTACCTGCCGACCCACGTAAGACCGCCCCAAAACCCTGCAGAGTTGATTTAAAAATAATGAGACCACATGAAGACATCCTCGTTATTCACCTGCAGATTCAGAACAACATCCAGTCCCACGCCATCATCATCCTCCCTAACACCGACGGCATCGAGCTGCTGGTGTGCTACGAGGACGAGGGCGTTTATGTCAACACCTACGGGCGCATCACCAAGGACGTGGTGCTGCAGTGGGGCGAGATGCCCACCTCAGTTGGTGAGTGACTAGAACAATCAGGAAAAATGACTTCAAGTTATGGAGGGTGATGAGTGCCACTATTTAATATATAAATACCTCATTCATTTATTAAAACTGGAAATGAAAACAATTTTTGTTTAAGAAATCCTCTAAGTTTTCTTATCTTGCTCAGTGAGAAGCAGCCAATCAGATATCAGGGTTTCTAGGGACCTAGTCCCGCCTATTTGACTTTGATGGATGTGTGACAGTTTAAATAAATTCATGGTTTGCTTTAGTGCAGGAGCATTTAATAATTATTCTCACTTCTTAAAAAAAGTAACCAATTTATTCAATTAAGGCCCATATAATTAATTATGTATTTATGTACTTATTTCCAGTTTTAATAAATTAATCACATATTTAAATTACTATTTCATAAGTTATTTATTTTATTCCGGCACTCGTCCTCCATATTAACTAAATGCTTTTAATTTAAGCAGGATTTGCCAATGGAATGAGTATTTTTTGCCCTTGCAATAAAATACTTAGATAGTATACAGATAAAATTAAATAGTAATGTTGTTAATCCTAGTTTAAAGTAAATAATAATATATTGGCAAATTGTCTTACTTACTGTATATGCTCATTTCAAGAGAAAATACGACAGTTTGACGTAAAATTGATGAGATTTAAATTTTTGCAGTGTACTAATACTTGTAAATCTCTCCTTAGCCTACATTCGATCCAATCAGATCATGGGCTGGGGGGAGAAGGCCATAGAGATCCGCTCCGTGGAGACGGGTCATTTGGACGGAGTCTTTATGCATAAGAGAGCCCAGAGACTCAAGTTCCTCTGTGAAAGAAATGACAAGGTAAAAACCATAACTCTCATTATCGCTGAACATAACCTTTTAGTAATTTAAACTTATATATATATATATTGAATAACTTTTTAACCAGGAAAAGCTTAATTTGAAATAATTTTAGATCCGCCGCCAAATGAGTCATTTTGCTCAGAGTGCTGCTTTTATGACAGTCCCATTAAACCGTGCTGACTAAGCTAAAAGCCAGTTAAACCGACATGGATCTTAGGCGATCAGACATGTTCTCGGTTCTCTGATGTAGGATTTAATCTAAAGGAGTGAACGTGTCCTTGTTTTTACAAGGAACTCTAAAAAAAAGTCTAAAGCCGGGCGTACACTGTATGATTTTTTCAATCGTTGCATACAGCTACGGCTCTGAAGCGATCTACCTGCTCACACTGCACGTCTAAAAACCACGTCGGTCTCCGCTCCGCAGTGAGATGTCGCTACTCGGACTCTTCTATCTGGAAGCCAAATGAGTAGAAGAGAAATATGAAGCTCACTAGTGAGAAACGTGCTGCCTTGGAAATTTGTGCGCTTTTGTGCTGAAAGCCCTAAAAAGAAAAGGCGACAACATATTTGGACAAAGACATGGCTGAGCAAATGTTCCAGCGCATATCATCATTAGAATTTCTTTGAGTAATATGTCCTCTGTACAGGGGCCAGGACACTCCATTTCACTCGAACCCTCCATGCTTCTTTGTTTTCGTCTGAGAGGAAGAGAAAAAAAAGAAGAATCCTTGTTTGCGCACTGAGCAATTGGCCAACGACGGCCAACTGAAATCCAAACCTGTTTGATTTTCTCCCGACCTTAAATTCCTGATCGGGAGGTGGTGGTGAGAGGCTGATCGCCCCTCATTACCCCTTGTATACTACACAACGCACAACGAACGATCAGGCTAAAGTCGCCCCGATCGAAATAATAATAATCTTACAGTGTACGCCCGGCTTAAATCTGCTGGTCCAGAGGGGTGTACGATCAGATACCTCAACATGTAAGGAGACCTTTTAATTTTACCAGTGAAATCGCCCCCTAGTGGCTAAATGTTAGAAAGTGTTGTCAAAAAAAAGAAGGAACTGTCATGATTTTACTAAGGTTCAGACCCAAACCCAGAAGACCAAACAAAGAGATCAGGGAAAAGGTTTAACAGGTTTTATTGAAGAGATAATTCAGACAGAAGTGTTGCTCTGAACACTGCTCAACCGGAACTGAAAAGTGAGGGGAAGACACAGCGGTGAGTTCAGGCTCAGTGGGAAATTTGATTTGTGAACTTGGAGAAGAGGATTTGGTTGCTGACTCACGTTTCCAGAGAAGTTGTTGAATCCTTGACTCAAGTATGAATGCTGTAGTTCCAGTGTTTGTCTGATTCGGTGGAGGGCGGAACAGGGTTTACCCAGAATGCGGTTGTTAGTAGGTGAACGGAGAAACTGACTGCCACTCAGATTTCCTGCGGTACTTGAACGGGACGTAGTGGAGATTAATCCCTTTCTCAGTGCAAAGCTCAAACGATCTCTTGGGGAAAGTGGATCCAAACCTCCTGTTTGAACCCCCAGATCAGTTTATAGCTCAGTTGATCCTTCAGGGAGAGAAGGCCCAAAAAATCCAGTTTGCAGGATGACTTCCTGCCGAGAGGCAAAGACAAAAACAAAGTTAAAACTCAGGTTGACAAGAACTCAGTTTGACTCAGCAAAACTCAGCTTGGCTAGAGTACCCAAAACTGGCAAACACTCCGTTAATGAGGAAACCATCAGCAGGTGTGTGAGGAGGCGGACCAGAACCAGGCAACTCCTGGTAGATGAAGGGACACAAACACAGAAACACACAGACAGGAGTCCTGACAGGAACTGATGATAAAAAACAGAAAATTCAAAAAATATATATGGGGATTTAACCACAGGACTACAAGCATTTGGGACCTCTATAGTTTTGCAACAACAAACTTTAAGTAATGTTTAACTGGTACTATAAAGTCAAATGATTTATGGTTCCTGGTTGCTTTAACTACAAGCCTTCCTCTGATCTGCAGGCTTTGGCTGTTTGTTTCTCTACAAGCCAAAACTCAAATAGGTTTTTCTCTATATTTACTCTGACCCCCAGCCTTGGTCATGCTGAAGAAAAGGATCTCCTAATTATGATGCTGCCACCACCATGTTTCATCATATGAATGTTGTGTGCTTGTTAGTTTTATGCTTTTATCATGCAATGGTTTTAACTTGGAGTGGACCTTTGTTGTTTTCCCAATAGCTTTCTTCTTATCACACTTTCATAAATCTCCATTTTATTCAACGTACAACATTTTGTTTTGTTTATAGATTCTCCAAAATTGAGTCGCTCACTGATGGATTTCATTTGGGAGGCTGAATAAAAATAAATAAAATTGGCCCACCACATTTATTTTATCTTTATGTGTAACGACAGTAAGAAGCATCTGTCATCTTCCCTTTTTCACAGTTCTGAGTAACATTTTGTTGATCTGAAAACACACTGAAGTTTGTAGTTTGACAAAAACACAGAAAAGAAAGGTTTGAACGAGTACGGAGTTCACATTACACCACATATTTGTTTTTTTTTTCAGCAAGATGTTCCAGAGTTGCTCAAAGAATTCTGAAGTATTCTAACTCTGAATATGACTCCATATTAAACGTCTTAAATAAAACACCTGTTTTATATAAGATTTTTATATCATCCTGAACAAATCTGGATTTAAAAACCGTTGCAGAGCATCAGACTGAAGTAATTTTCTAAATGTTCAGCCTTTGTTCGCTCAGCTGAGTAAGGAACTACAAATTGCCCAAGTTTCTGTTCTCTGTTTTCTAGATTTACTTCCCGTTTGCATAAAACCCAGGGAAGATTATGGGTTAGATTTTTCTTATTTGGTTGAAGGATTTTCAACTTGAAAACCCAGACAGGAAATGATAAAGACATTTTTTTTTCTTATTAACCTCTTGCACTTTAGGAAATATTTCTTTAACAGACCTGTCAGTAATTTGTTAAATAAAAGACCCAGTTAAAGTTCCGACCCGCTTCTGTCTCCTGTCCAGGTGTTCTTCGCCTCGGTTCGACCCGGAGGCTCCAGCCAGGTCTACTTCATGACTCTGGGCCGAAGCAACCTTCTCAGCTGGTAGAGGTCCACGCCCCGCCCTCCGTTTTTTCTCCTCCTTCTCCTCACCCTTCGCATCGTCCCCCACCTCGCTAACACTGGATCTCAGAACCCACCTCTGATGTTTCTGTCAATCCTCGGAAAACGAAATGAGAAACGGACACACCAGCCGACCGGCCCATCAGAGCAGCCGACGGCGACAACTTCAGCTTCTAGAGCTCGACGCCAGGGGTTCTGGGGCTCAACCTGCGACGCGGCGACGGCCACGAAAAGGTCGCCGCCCCTCAGAAATACCGGAAATGACGACTTTCTTGCAGAAGTGAAATCAATAGCTTAGACGTTAAGGGAGGTAGAAAATAAACAACTGTGAATTTTAGAAAACAGGACAGACGACGTTGTGTTTTCTCTCAGCTGTCTCGGTGCTTGTCACGTCACGATGGGGTCGATGTCGAACTTCTGCTTCGTTTCCGTGCTCTCGGGTTGGTCCGTAACATCGATGTCTTTTAGCTAGGAGTTTTGCAAACGCTACTATCACTTCTACAGCTTCTACTTTCTGCAGGTCTGCCTCCTGTAAGGAAGCCTGGAGTTAGTCTTGTTTTGTGCTGCAGTGATGTAAATAACAGCAGCTTTGGGCGGTTGAGGGCTGACGCCTGGTTGGAGGATCAATCCGAAACCCTGGACGCAGCCTAGCAGGTGGGTGAGACCTGGTGTTTAATAGGAGCGTGTTTGATGTTCTTTAACAGGACGAAGGAAGGAGAAAGGACCGATCAGGCAGATGGATTTCAAATTAGTATTTTCTGAATTCTTATAGAGAGGTGTAACAAAGAGGTGTTAAACGTGTCTTTAAGCTTTCGTTTTTCCATTAATGCACATTCAGCCTCAGGCCGCGACTCGCTTGTTTCCTCCATTTTGAGCTGTATGTGGAGAAAGCAAGATGAAATCGAACCGACGCTCGTCGTCAGCTGTGACGGCCAGAAGTGGTGAACTGGTGGTGCTGTGAATAGCGATTCAAAGGTGTTTATGGACGGATGAATTAGAGGAAAGTTTAGCATGTGTGTGTGCGTATGTGTGGCGGGAGAGTTCGATGTTGTCGGCGAATCGAATTCCCATGGCAGGGAGGCAAACGCATGGTTCAGCGGGTTAGTTTCAGGTGCAGGAGGCGGACTATCTTCCATTTTCCTTCTTTCACTTCATCTTCCATCTATATTATTTGTATGTACTCAATGCACTAAGTGTCCAGAATGTAGAGAGACTTCTTACTGTGTGGTGGTCCAAGGCATGAGATGATGTTTCTCTTTGTATCTTTGTCACAAGTGGTCAATTCTAGGTGTTCAATTCAAATGAAAGTGAATAAAAGCAGACCTCTCATCGAGTGTGGATGTACTTTTCTTTCCTGCAGCCGTGCCCGCCCCCCTCCCTCGTCTTCTGGCTTCCTGAGAGCCCTGCTTGCTTTAACATGAGGACTAAAACTTTGTTGTTTCAAAACGTACACTTTTGGACTTCAGTATTGCTGTGATGAAGTGTGTCTTTTTAGGGCGACACAGAGCAGATCTCTTTTTATTTCCCCCTCATGCTTCAAAGTTGTTTTGACATTTTCTTGTACATGTGCATCTCAATAAATTAAAATATTATCAAAAAGTTCATTTACTTATGAAATTCATTTACAAATTTATAACAAAGAGTAAATATTTAAGTGTGAATTTCTGTTGATTTGAATCAAATTGTTTTACTTCATCTAAAAGGACTACTTTGAAGACAGTCCAGTCCTGTTCACATTAGTTCAGGTAAGTCACTTCTGGGTCTGGTTCAGGAGTGACTCGAGACAAGTCCGTGTCCCGAACACATCGAGTCTTCATGTCCTTAATCTCCTCTGAAGGGCTTTCTTACACAAATCCTTTCAAGGATGCCGTTATTCCCGTTTGTGCACTTTTTCCTTCCACTTAACTTCTCATGCTTATTCCTTGTCAAAGCACTCTGAACTTTTAAAAACCTTTTAGTTTATCAGCAACAGGAGTCTTTTTTTAGGATTATTTCAGCCATAACATTTGTGTGTCAAACAAATCTCTTGTTATTAGTCGTATGTGAAACCCTGAGTTGCTCATCTGAATCTTGTTTATTTTTCTTTAGTTATAATCCACCATAATCCAAATAATTGAATAGATCTAATCTAATCTGGACTTTGTGAACCAAATATTTGAAATAAATGAACTTTTCTGTGGATATTCTGATTTATGAAGATGCTGGTTTTTCTCTTCGCCTCAAACTTAGATTTAAAGATGTCTGTATATTTGGAATAATGAGCAACGAGCTGCAGCATTGATCTCCTCCTTCTGTCCCGCTGGATTTTCCTCCATTTCCACAGATTATAGAAAAAAAAGTTGCTCATCCATTTGTGCTCCAGCTACATATTCAAACTTTTATAAGGATGCAAACAGCATTACACATACTTCAGCAGCTCCCTGTCAGTCCCAAAGTTTATGGAGAGGCTGTTAGAACCTCAGTCCCGTTGTCCGAGGTTCGCAGTAGCACCCACCGTGTTTGTTTTAATGCTTAAAGGCCTTGAAGAATGGCTGCATCCATTTTATGAAAATTATACTCTTATTATAAATTAATGCAATGACTTTTATAAAAGGCGAACAATGATACCATTTCTGCTGGTGGAAGAAAGCGTCCGCTTGCAGGTAAAAGTTAAAACCAGTGCCAAGAGGGCAGCATTTAAAACGTGTGAAACTATTATTAAAAACCACTTCTTAGGTATTGTTTTAAAAAATATATATAAAAAAAAAACACTTGAAGCATTGTGTATTCTTAAGTTTTAGAGGTAGTTAAGAAACGTGGTAGTTTTTTGTTGTTTCTGTAAGTCTATGTACACGTAAATATGCGACTGCGGTGGTTGAATATTATTACGCTCACCTTAGGTGGAAAAAAATGTTTACAGAAGCAATGTTTGTTACACTAATGTGTGCATCACGGTATTTATGTTTAACGATCTGGGTTCCTTACACTTCGTGGTTCTGCTTTATGAGCCTGTTTTTTGTTTTATTTTTAAATTGGATATTTATTTTTTTTTCTACCACCTCCCTCCTAAGCAACCTACATTGAAAACAATAAAGAACAGATGTTGTTCATTTCAGGTATTCACTTATTGCCATTTTAACCATGGTGACATTGCAGTAAGTTTTCCTGCAGGCTTGGATGTGAGGCAATGTGTTTTCCTCTGTTTCTGCCATGCTTCTCTAACTTATGTCCTCTCTGTGTATGACAGGAAGTTGTGTATTTTCCTGATTATATATTTTTTTTGTTTTCTTTGAATAAACTTAAAAAGTAATTTTAAGGGAACATCGTCGGTGGTCTGTGCTGCTCGTTTTTCCTCCAATCTAAAATAGATTTTTTTTTTTCTTAATAAACATTTCTTACTCTGCTTAAAAATTACACAGCGATTCACATGAAAAAATGTTGGTGCAGTGAGATTAAATTCTCTGTTATTACACTTTAACAGCAGCGTTGATCATGTAGAGATTCATATTCAGCCTGAATGAAGAAAAAAAAAAAAACTCCACTGTTGTGTTGTAAATTATAACTTTTGGGGGAAGTCACTGTTGCTGCCACCATGTCTGATTTCAGGTCGACTGTGTGTCTCTGCTCAACTAAAAAAGGGAAGTTTCCACCATATGAAATGTGTTTAAGACGTCTTGTGCAAAGCTCCATAATTAGATGTGGGAAGTTTAATATTTGTGCCCAAGCAGAGTCAACTAGGCAGTTGTCTAGGGCTCCAAGGAACTTGGGGCCCCATAAAACTGTTTACATGTATGGTTAATACAACTATTCCTTATTTGTGCACATTAATTATGTTTTGATAAAAATCCTTTGCTAAAATGCCATCAGAAACCTTATAATATTAAGTGTGTCTCGAAGGGCCCCCCTTCAGTGTCCTATACATTGGTTCAGTCCATTTGCTGCACATGTTCAGAAATGTCCAAAGAGACAGCAGAGAGAGAGAGAGAGAGCAGTGTTGCCAACCTAATACCAACCTAAGACCCCTCTAGCACTTTTATTTAAAAAAAAGTGCCTAACGCCAAATCTAGTGATTTTTTTCTGCTACTGGAGACTTTGGCAACAACATATAAAAGCAGCGAACTCTGCTCTCCAGAGCAAGTAGATTGGTAACCCCGCCTGCTGCTCTCTTCTATCTTGTCTGCTGTCATGATTCATGCAGCTATTATTTCATCCAAATGAAAAATGGAGAAAAGATAAGCAGATCATGGATTTTCTACAGTGAAAGAAGGACTGTTTTACTTACTTTTGCTGTTGCCTTTTTGGAAACACCGGAGGGAACAATCAGCTAAGTGAGCTTAGTGCTTGGAAAAAAATGTCATTCCTTTTGAGGCATCATGAAAAGTCTGCTGAGTACAAAACAAAGAGAGGAAAACAAGAAGAAAAGGGTCAAGAAGAGAGGGACATTAGTAGAACAAATAATGTATGTCTATTCTATTAAACTATCTGTAGCTGTATAATGGGTCTTTTTTATGTGTTGTCTTCTCAATTCAAAGGGCCCCATATTTCCTAAATCCCTGTGCCCAAGATAAGAGAAAAAATATTCATTTTATTTTACCCTATTTCTGAAGTATCAGAACAATAAAAAAGAGTTTTTGAAATTAACTTACTTAATATTTCACTGACTTGGTTAATTTTCAGATGTATAACAGGATTAATTCCCTTGGCGTATCCTACATGCTTTTAACATGTCATTTTGTCACTTTCCTTCAGACGGAACTAATGTTACTGTTAGTTATATAAGATGCATTTGTCATGATCTGGCCTGTTTGCTCTCCCTTAATTAGTAATTCCTCTCACCTGCCCTCTTCCCTCTCTGCCTCAATTATAATTTATTCCCCTCACCTGTTTCCTCTGGTTTATTCAGTTCAGCCTGAGCATTCCATGCCAGATCATTGCTTGTCTTTCTGTCAGTCTTTCTGTTCAGTTTTTATTTGGTTCATGTCCTGGATCCTAGCAGCCAGTGGAAAGAGGGTTTTAGTGTTTGTCTCGTAATAAGCAGGAAATGCACTGTAAAATTTACCAAAGTAATTTGCCCTTTCTATCAAAAATGTCTTTCATCCCATTTAGAACCCAGAGAAATCAGTCATGTACCCATTCACACTCTGATGGTGCAGGCTACATCGTCCTGGCCTGGCGAACACTGACAGAAGCTAGGGTACCAAAAACAGACATCACCGTCTGTTGAACATCAGTAGGCAATTCGGTTAAAGTGTGCAGTCAAAGGACACAACAACTGAGAGAGGCTGAGCTTGGGTTCCAACCGATGACCCTCTGGTTGCAGGGCGAACATCCTGCCACTCTTGCCCATGCAACATAGAGAACAACTTCTTTGTTGTGAAGTGGAGCCCATGGTTACCTTTTGATTCCTTAGCTAATTATATGTGAATTGGCAAGGTTACCAAAACAGAGCTCGACTCTTGCAAAAGAGCAGCAGCCTGGAAACATGGAACCCAGCAAAAGAAAAGAATGAGAAATAGGTTAAAATCAAATACCTCAAACCAATAAAGACTTTTAAATCATGGAGTAAGTGCATCCATGGTCACCATAGATAATGCTATTCAAATAGCGCTCGCAAGAAGGAAGGTTGGACCACGAAGCAGGATCCTTAGCATTTTGACCTCCGGATTTTACTAGCCACCACCAGGAGCTATACGGTTGCCCACAATCCTTGATATAACCGGAAGTATAGGCACAGCTCAACAAAAAAAATTGGCTGTGTCCAAACGTCTGCAGTAAACACTATACAGCGGCCAAAATCATTTTTGCCTGCGAGTGGTCTAGCCTCGATCAATGCCCCAGGCCCTAGAACTGGCGAGCCAATCACAACGCAGAGCTGTGTTTTTAATTTCTGGATGCAAAGCTGGTGGAGTTTTGAGGGCGTGACAAAGCTGTGGATGCTGAAAAAATACATGAAATAAGTAATTTGTCGCTCTGGCCCCCGACAGAAGACTTTGATGCTGTGAATCGACATTCGCTTCAATAAGTAACCTAGGGAAAGGATTAGTCTTCCTCCCCGGACACTGGTGGTGGGATAAGACAGAGGATGAGTGGGACTTAGAAATGTCAGAGAGTGAGGGAAGGAGATGTTGCAAAGCTGGGAAGCACGGAAGCTAGGTGAGATGCTAAAGGAAAGGTTTTTTTGATCATTGTGTTTGGAGGAGGTGTGGTCTCGATGTTGATTGGCTGAAACTTTAATGAGGGACATCACAGGTGTTCCAGGTGAGGTTGATAAGATTCCAGATGGAATTTTAGCTCCAGCTTCATTTGTGTAACTTTTGTTTATTTGTAGTTCTTCTGCAGAAGGCTGTAGTTCCAATTTGATCAGCATCATTCGGGTGTGTATCAGCCACATAATGACCTTCCTACAGTAAGATTCATGGCTGTCTGGATTCAGCACAGCAGTCCAAAGCTCCTTTCCTACCCTGGATAGAGATTTTACCTCTGTTCTCGCAAAAGGTATAGAATAGGGATAGGAGCTACCATAATTTCAGGTGTTGGTATCAAGCCACAGTTTCAACAATACCTGAGAAGTCTTGGTTTCCTTCAAAAGTATTTGCACAACACTCTGTGGCTGAATCNAATTTCAGGTGTTGGTATCAAGCCACAGTTTCAACAATACCTGAGAAGTCTTGGTTTCCTTCAAAAGTATTTGCACAACACTCTGTGGCTGAATCGTCTTCACTTGTCATCTTGACACTGGCTCCACGTCCTGAACCTTCCTTTTAACCTGTACGACACATGGTTGATATGAAACTAGCTGTCATTACACCTTTTACTTACCTTTTAGTTACCTTAGTTACCTTGCTGGTATGTTTAGAGTCATTGTCCACTGGGAGGACCTATTTGTACGTTCTGACTGATGCCTTGAGGTGTGCCTTCAGTATTTCCACATACAATATAGTGCAGCAGTCCCTCTTGCAGCAAAACTGCCACCAAACATGATGCTTCCACCACCATGCTTGACATCTAGGATTGTCCTCTCAAGCCCACAACCTTTCCTCTTTTGTTTTCCAAATGTAACGATGTACAATATGGAAAAAAAAATTTAATTTCAGACACCACATAACATTGTGATCTCTTTTTGTAGGTTTTTATGTTAGTAATGGATACATCACTACTGAGTGACCTTCCAGGTAGTTAGGGTACAGGGCTTGTTTGCCTCTGCACCTTTTTGTTTAATTTAAATCTATGCTCCACTCTGAAACACATGAATTTCAAATAACTTGTTTCTTGCAAAGAGGCATTTTTCATTAATATTCCCACATTTTTACTTTCTTGGTTATAGCTGATCTTGGTTATAGATGAAAATGGCCACTTCTGGTATCTGTAAGTTTTTTTCTTGTGTTATTGTGACATTATGAAGGTCTGCAGTTTTATTTTGATATCCTTGCCGGGTCTCTTTGTTTTTGCCATGTCACTTGTAATAGGCGTATTTTAGGTGTGGTCCTAGAATGTACCTGCTGGTGTTATTCCAATAATCCAGAAACTATGTCATGGTTTCTTAAGGAAATAGTTAAAACAATCTCTGGTGACAGCATTTAGTAAATCCTAACCTACCTAAAACAGGAAAGCCTGAGTCATTTTTTCATGTCAGTGGGTAAGAATGAAAAAAAGATTCAACTGTATCTGCAGGCTGTGTTGTATGAAATACTTCTAAAAGTGCATTTAGTGAAGTGATAGTAGTATTTTACAAAATCGATACCGGTGACTAAGACTGACAAAGTTCAGCAAGAACAATAGAGTAATGGTTGTTATATATTTGTTAGCTAAAGAAAGGGAAGTCAGCTCCACATTCTGATCATTAGCAGCTTGAGTTAAGTTAAAATCTGCTGTCAAGGCATAAATACTGCACCAACTGCAGCAGATGAACCTGTCAATAAAGGCTTTTTATTTCCAGACACACCCCATGGTCCAATCTGGATAAAATTTTAGATATTTAGGCCACTTTTCTTTTTTAAGCACTGCTAAAACATGCCTAAGAGGCAATGCATTGGAAAAAAAAAATATCACTTATCATTTGCATCTTCTTGTAATGTAAAAATGTAAATCCCTTTTTTGTCCCACAAAGGGGAAATATGTGGCGCCCGGAGAGCAAGCAGGGGTTTAGGGTTTTTGTCAGGAACCCAGAGAGGAGGCTGTGGGGATCAAACTGGA